TGTGTGTGTGTGTGTGTGTGTGTGTGTGTGTGTGTGTGTGTGTGTGTGAGTGTGTGTGCGTGTGCGTGTGTGCGAGTGTGTGTGTCTGAATGTATATGTATATGTAGATATATATATATATATATATATATATACTCTAATATATACACTTACATATTTACACGTATATATATGTTTGTATTCAAATACCTTGTAAAGTTGTTATAAACACACATGATATCAAACGGTCATCGATTATAGCTTAATAAACAAATGTAGGTGATTTGGCAGTGAAATGATAAGCAATTCATATCATACCTGCTTTGGCTCCAACGGATCCACCAACGATGGGTCCGAGGATGATTGCACCCACACCCATCACGGCACCCCCGCCCACACTTAGAAGGCCCTGACCAGTGCCACTAGCAGCATTCTGAGGCTGGGCATCCTTACGTGCTTGTTTGTCTGCGTCTATTTTGTCTTTGGCAGCCTTTACCAATTCCTCTGGTTTTGTCAAAGTTGCTGATGTATCCTTTGGTTCACTCATGATGTCTCACAGATCGAGGCATTCAGTGCTTAATTCTGATTACACTTACAATTGGGGCTGAGTAGTATGATATGAATGTCTATATACACATATAATCGCAACTATTGATAGATACATTATTCACTTGATGCATAGCTACTCTACGATACGAAATATAAAGTAAACATCACGATTCATGAATATTCTCGTTATCGAATAAAAAGGAGTAGATCGGATTAGGAGGTTTGGGTTTGTTGACACTTGACGCTTTGACATTTGACAGTGTTGGGATCGAGTGTACTTTTATTTTCGAGAAAAAAAACATTATTTTGTTTATTTTGTTTATAAAAAAAAGGGCTTCAGCCCAAGGCCCCAAGCCCCCAAGGCCTTCCCAGCCAGCACTGCCAGCAGGGACCACTCCTTAGCTGTACGAACGCCCCTACAAAGAGGTGTTCGCTCAGTGTTAACAAGCGCCTGCCGTCAAGGTCAGCCTGACCAGACCACCCACGCCAATACCCACAATAAGTGTATGAGATGTATCTCACTCAACCCTATACACGTAAGAGAGAACTGTGTGAACCCATTGTAGACAAGGAAAGGTTACGCTGCCATGCGCGCTTTGACTGATGCTTTCTGTGCTGCTGTTCTGTACCCATAACCCATGTACGCTCGATATTTCCACTCCGTTGCTGCGGCAATCTCGTCCGGTTCCGCGCCTGCATCCTTCAGCGCCGTGAGGCCGCCAATGCGGTAGATATGGTCTCGGTATCCATATATCTCTAGTTTGGCTGCGGCGAACGTGGCCTTCGTATCTTTCTTGAATTGTTCCTTTGTGTATGTTTCACCTTCCAGGGAGAATATATAGCTTAGCTGTGAGTAAAAGCCAGGATTGCAAAGCTTGTCCTGGACATATGTGAGTTCTTCGAGGGTTTTTGGCAAGCGGACATACTACTGTGTAGGTTTGAGCATGATATGTATTGGCGCGACATGTGAATTTTGTCAGAATAAGCCTCATACACGGACTCCACTGTAATCTCTGAGATTCGCAGTAAACAAGCCATGCAAGTGGCTGCCCAAAATTGGATCCAGCGACGCTGGGTAACTTTTCCGTTGATGGCCATGTATCGTGTGATGGCCTTGTGATAGTAGAAAGTGATATGTAGGTTGGCTGCGCGATACAAAGAACGAGTATATGATAAATAGACGTGATTGAGCTGAGTTGAAGCCCTTGCATACCGAGCCAACTAAGATCATGGACTAGTAGAAGTAACGATGCTGTATGCTCAGCCAGGCCGCAGTCGTTCGCGGCGCGCGTTTAATAGCCAGCATTGACTTGATAATTGTATGCCGACGGCGCGGTTCTGTTTGATCCAAACGGAAGAGCCGTATCAACTGTTTTTGTATAGAAAAAATGGGAGCAGATATAAAGAGATATAAATTTTTAGTTCATTATTTACAGTGACTAATAAAAATGTATATACAGTGACCAATATATAAGTGACGAGATGGTGTGACTGTTAGAGCCATCTTGGCTTGATACGTCGTGTAGCGTCGCTGGAAGCCGGCCTCGTTTTTTTTTTTTGAACAAAGTGATGTGTTGCCGCCGCCTGCTACTGCTTCATGTTGGTCTGGAGGTGTCTTGCCTCGGACTAGGCCTCTCTCAGAATTGGGTGCCATTCTACAGACGGAATAATGTATTCCGTTGCGAACTTCTTGCGATATTCGGACATGATAATACGCCGGTCCACTAATCGGAAAGCTATAGATTCCACTCATCAGTGGCGCTGCCTGTGGGATAGTTGCTGACAGCCAATTCAGTGAGCCAGACAAACTTTGGCATTCTTTGGACATCGTGGTCTTTGTGTGATTCAGCCCAGCTGCAAAATAGGGCTTCGTACTTTGCGTGTTTTATAAGTGAGATTGACATGTTGTGAAAAATTGTGTTAAATATAACGCCACAATACTCAGCAGATGTGACTGCTGCCAGCGTCTTATGCTCGTGCAACTAGAACGTTTATTGTATCTAGCAGCGCTAACAGAGCATCTAACTAAGCGAAAGCTTGTGCACCGTGAGAAATCGTTCATTTTCATACTGCTGTATCCATAACGCGAGTGTTGAAATGATAATCCAAACGGCAGAGTCGCTTTGAAATAAACATACCCATATATGCAAAACCCAGCAACAATACCTGCCATGGTAGCACTGGTAACAGATGGAAAGCTGCGGAGATATCATACACGCTGAGACGTGTGCCGACAGGCTGTTGAGCCAAATATCGCATAGCCCTCACCAGTGTATGGTTGCTGGGTTTCGGCGGGGTTCTGTGTTTGTTGATGGAATCCTTTCCATACGACAGATCATGAAACATCCGATGCTTGGAAGACCAATGGGGGAGATGCGGCAAAATGATAACTGGTCAATCTGTGTACGCAGAATGGGCCGAGTGTTCGACTTTTGCGACTCTCGTCGGGGATCGCGTCGGCTACCAGCTGTGGGATATCAAGAACTGAATAATGCGGGGGATATGTATAGTAGTTACAGGACCATCATACCCTGTATCCACGCCGTTTGCCAGGGCATCACAGAGCCACTTCGTCTCATCCTTGTCGTACGTTGCTAGTATTGTCGAAGTATCGGAAAATGAATAGGTGTCGTAGCTGCTTGTTTTATTCCGAGTGTGCTCGAGTCTGCCTCCCTATCCTCGTCCGAGTAGCCGGTGTTGCACGAAGTGCCTGTACTTTGTGAAGTTAACAAATTATCTCGCACGCACGCCTCATTAGTAATAACAGGTGGTGTCTCCGTGATAAGTATATTATGCAATCATGTATGTGAGATGCCCTGAGTGTGATGTGCTTCAGTTGCATGTGTCAGTCATTTTGATGTTTTATTGGTGGGTGGGGGAATGGCATATTTGCGCTCTTGTGTACATGGGTCCGAACAGCTGTTACTCGCAAACGCAAAACAGAATTGACTCTGTTTCTGATTTTTGCGAACACACGTGCAAAATCTGTGAAGTTGATAACACTCAGTGCATAGCAAATCAGAAAACCGATCTGACTTTCTGCTTGTCAGAAGTTGTATCAGTTGTAGGTCAAACAACCCGAGAGTAAATGTATTATCGTATGTTGGGCTTGCACGGCGATGTTTGTTGTCGATACTTTGCACTGTAGGTGCAGTGAACACATTACCTTGTTCACATAGCATCATAAGCCACTGCATCAAATCAAATACTGTTGCAACGGTACACCCAGCCTTATGTAATACATCCACATGAGAGGTGAACTTCTCTTTGGTGCGTTCGACTTTCACTCCTGCTATCGTATACTTGACTGCATCCGTGCGTTCTGCATCAGCGTCGTCGCGCGCTAATGTCTTCATTTGTGACAAAGACAAGATTTTGCCTTCTTCAAGCAGCACTTTCTGAGCATAAAAAGGTGCTGGAAGAAGAGTAGTCAAGCGGTAAAGTTGTATATCTCCTTGCCGAACAAAACGTAGACCGTGGCGCTCTTCGGCAGCTACAGTTAGTTGACGCTTCATGCGTTGACTATGATCTGGCAGAATTTACATTTCGACTTCCATACATTTCATCTCTGATATCTTGTGGAAGCGTTGGAGAGCCTTGTGTGAAGTCAGACAGAACATAATTGTGTTGTGTTGTAGAACCATTGAACTGATTTTTTGGTGGGGTAACCGTCTCCTCTGACGAGGGGTGGGGATTTAAATACTGAGGAGGTTGAGGGTAGTTCTAATACGTAAACGGATATTGATACGATGGCATCGATGGGTACCATCTGATCGTGTTTTGTGTTGGTTGGAAAGCCGTCCAAGGCATGTTATTGGTAGCGGACGGTTGTGAGTGCTGCGTATAGTGCTGCTGCTGATGCCAGTCCGAAGGGTTAAAAGATGTGTGTGGTTGTGCATCGTATCCTTGTAAAAATAGCGGGTTCCTAATAGTAGAAGCACATGTTAACGTATTTATAAACGTAATAACGTAATAACGTTTATACTCTTAATGACAACTTTTAGTTCCCCAGCCCAAAGGCGTGCTTGATGCTCAGGGTTCATATGAATATGACATTAACGTAACGGTCCCGATGTAAAAAGATGTCTCTCGAATTTACTTACTATCATCTCTTTCCGGCCAAGCACGCCTTATTCAGTAAAGCTTCAAATCTGTTTACCATAATTGTTATCTGCAGTTTGAACCAAAAACAACAAATATTCCGTGATCTTCTGGCGCTTCCAAGTTGCAACCAGTCACGAGTACGTATGATTGCAAGTGAGTGCATCACGAGTCCGGCATCATCTGAAATTCTAGCAACTCGGTGGTTTTAGTTCGAAACGCCAAAGATCGGAGATAGTGAATGCAGAATCCGCTGCTAACTTGGCTATGAAACAAGATAGATTTGTGATTGATTCTGAGCTGCGCGTAATTTTGACCGAGACGATTGTACACAGAGGGACAGGAGTTCGTCAAGAGTATAGGGGTTTTTTTTTACTACATATCGTCCAGATCGAAAAGACCGCTAGGACATTATCAATACGATTGGTTAAGTAATGTAAACAAATTACACTAGGCAGATTTTTAAGACCGGGCCAGAGGAACGAATCGATTGTTGGAACTAGTGGAATAGAGAATCAAATCCCTTCATATTACCCGATAGTAGATAAAGTCTCGTTCAATATGTACAGGATCCTAATTAAAAATATAGCAGGCGCGCCATTCTCAAAGGCACTTCTGACTGAGCTCATTTATTTCACTCCTAACACTCTTTCCTAAGCGCTACTCGATTTTGACCACTAAGTTTTGTCTAGAACTTTGAAAGAATTTAGTCCGTGGTACGGAATACAGGACGCTCTTATGGACTTCTCAATATGGATAAAGATAAATTGACACTTTATATCGCAGTAATGGCATTTGACATGCTGTCCGATAGAAATGAATAGTCAATTTTTAGACAAACTTCTGTAGGTTCGGAGTCACCAAATTCTCATTTTCAGATACATGGCAGCCCAGCTTCAATGACATCTGCAGGGAGACTCATGGGACCGAACCGGAGAAAATTGTCATCCTGGAAGAAGATAGCGCTCCCTCGCCCCAATCGTTTGTCTCACAGCCACAACATATGTCACAATATGTCTTCGTCAAACAAACGCTCTAGTACCGGTAACTGTACCTAGGGTACCGGACGATGAGGATGATAAATAACTGCATGGCCAGCAATAATCAGCACTACCGAATTCTGAACTTCCAACAAACGATTCAAAAATGGTGGACTTTACAGCTCGCATGGAACGAGCAAGGGACGCTGCTAACTTGAAGATGGATCGAAGCAAGAGTGAGTAGGCACATTTTCAGGTGAGAATGGCTCTTGAGCTGCGTGTGATTGAGACCGAAAAGACTGTGGAGGTTCAAAATTTCGTCAAGGATATAAGTAAGTTGCGTACTTCATATCGTCCGGATTGAAAAGACGTACAGGACCCTAATGATACGAGTGGTTTGGCAAGTTTGTCTAGAATTTTGAAGGAATTTGGTCAGATCATGTTTATCGCAATTCTGCGCAAGAATCTTCGGCTCGAAGCAGATCATAAAAGTTTTTTTATAAGTAAAATAATTAGAGGAGGCCAATGCAGCTGAAAACATGGAAGGAGAAAAACGAGATGACCGTCCATCTATTTTCAACGGACCCTTGACTGGAGTTATTGATATCTATCTGAAGAAAGAACGCCGGTATCTGACCATCTGTTTGATTGAGACACGCAGTTGCCTCGTGCCCAAACTAAGGAAATGTCGAACGACAGTTTGAACATGTGTGTTATTTGGGTACAGACCATCTTTTGGTCGAATATTTTCCGGAAGGATCAAGGGGTACGGTACGCAGACATGCATCAAACATACCCAGACAAGGCTGTGTGAGGTTTAAATTGAAGGACCTATTTATGGCATCATGAAACTCTCCGACCTAACGTGAACTGAATTTTATTCAAGAGTATACCAATTCTTTACGAAGCCATAGAATTGTCCACAATCTCACAAGAAGAGTGAGTCCAATACAAATGAAGGATCAGGTATTGGTCGAGACACTCATTCCGTTGCGGGCAATAACAAGGAAAACAGAGGATGGGACAAAGGTGGACGTCAATCGAGAACCAATTAAGGTGCTGATAGACACAAGAACAATGTCGACCTCCAAGGTGTCCCTATGAACAAACCTGTTCCGTCATCACTGCCACCTAAGCCTAAAAATAAGAGGTTAAGAATTGCAGTTAAGTACATTGCAGTTGACGCATACCCCAACATGAACCAAGTGGTCGATGTTACAATAGAGATACAGAAACAAGTATCGCGAAGTTTGTGGATTGTGTTGGAACTGGACTTGTAATAGCCGGGCCTCCACATTAGACTCTATGTTATAAACGTACTCTTAAGCAGTACGTAAATTATAAACGTACTCTTAAAAGTACGAGGAACTTAAGTTTTCTAAATGGTTTTTAATAGTTTTATTAATTAATACCTTTTCCTTTTTACATATCAGATATTTTGGACGAGGCCATTAAAAGGCCTCAGTAAAATACCAAACATAAGAGTTGGTCTAGTTCTATTAATAGAACTATATTTACTTTTCAACTTTATTTATATCTGAATACTTCGGTAGCGAGATGGCTCAACCGAATATAGGTTTCTAGGGGCTATTAACGTTACCTAGTTGATCCTCCGATCAGCCAACCAGATGTGCCAGTCTGATGAAGGCTAAGTCGGTAATTCTTGATAAGTGGCAAGTTGTTGGTAAAGACAATAACTAAGGACATCAAGAGTATTTTCTATATAAATTTTTTCTAAAGATAGGATTTTATGAGTCTCTCAGATTCGCCCCAATGAAACATATCATAGTTTCTAATAGAGCGACAACGAAACATTAAATACAATCCCTTCGGCGAACACAGTACTGAGAGGATTATATATAGGCAATGTC